TAAATTCTCCTTTGTTGGCAACCTATTCAAAAATAATCTCCTCCCAAATACACTCAATTTAAAGGGAACATACTGACACCAACTAACTCTAGTCCATCTCTTATCAAGAATACAATCTAGAGGTGTTAGAAAAGCATAAGCAGCTTTCACAAAATATACACCATCACCCTTATGAACCCATCTCCAAAAATCAATTTTATCATTCCTCACCTTTACTCCATTAATCAAGTCCCTAAACTGTTCCCTCACTACTCGCCCTCTCCACACAACGATGTCTCCATTGACAATCCCATACCCAATCATCCCCACTCCAAAAACCCATATTCTTGACTAACGCCTCCCTATCAATTGCTAACTCAAACAACCTAAAAAATAATTTTTTAAAGATTTATCTCTCACCCACTTATCCCCCAAAAATCCACACAACTACCATTACCAACTTCCAATTTAAAACCCTTTGCTAACATGAAATCAACCTTTTGGACTCATAACCAATACTCACAATATCCTTCTACACCCAAGACATATTTAAATAATTAAAAGAAAGAATATTAGCCTCTTTCCTACCCCCATAATATTTCTCCCAAATCACTCTCTTCCATAATCCCTTCGTCCCATCTACTAACCGAAACCACCATTTACCTAGTAATGCCCAATTCTTTCTCTCCAAATCAGCCACTCCTAAACCCCCTCTCTCCTTTTCCATACAAATGTTAGCCCAAGTAACCCAAGTAATTTTCTTCTCCAAATAAGCACCACCCCAAAAAAATTTCCTCTGAATTTTAATCATGTCATCAATAACACATTTAGGAATTTTAAATAAAGGGAAATAAAAAACAGGAATGGCAGAAAGTACCGAGTTGATTAAGGTGATCCGACCTCCAAAGGATAGTAAAGGGCTCTTCTAGGTGGTAAGCTTAACTTGAAAACAATCTAGCATCGATTCCCAAAATCTTTTCCGACCCAAATTCCCTCCAACCGGTAAACCAAGATAGATAAAACGCACCTTACCCACTCCACATCTGAAAATATCAGCAGCACCATTAATCCACCCTTCAGAAACATTAAATCCATACAAATGACTCTTACAAAAATTTATTCGTAAACTAGAAATCAATTTAAACTAGAAATCAATTCAAACCAATGCAAAATGGCTTTCACAACCCTTAAATTTCCTGCTTCTACCTTCCCCATAAACACAGTATCATCAACAAATTGTAATAAAGAGAGCATCATACCACCTCTCCCAATTCCCATTCCTTGCAAAAGCCCCTCACCCTCCACTTTTTTCACAAGACCAGACAGTCCCTCACCAACTAGTAGAAACAAAAAGGGAGACAAAGGATCACCTTGATGAAGACCTTTGCCAATTGAGAATTCCTTCATTGGGTTTCCATTAATTAAAACAGAAATTCTTGCTGTTGATAAACTTTCATGCATCCACTGTCTCCATTTAACCCCAAAACCCATTCGAGCCATCATCCAATTAAGAAAAGACCAATCGACATAATCATATGCCTTTTCAAAATAAGCTTTAAAAATAAAGCTCGCATGTTTCCTTTTCTTTACCTCATACACAACCTCATTCAAAATCAACACACTATCCACCAATTGCCGTCCACCCACAAAAGCTGATTGAGAAACACCAATAATGTCCATCATTACCATTTTCAACCGATTCGCCAATACCTTAGCCAATAATTTGTATAGACAACCAATCAAACTAATAGGCCTATACTTCTTAGAATAAGAAAGGAAATAAATATAGTTCTATGAAATGGAATTCATACAACTTGAATGATATAACATAAAAGTGGTGGGCTTATTGTTACACCCTAAATAATTAATACTATATCATTTTAATGTAATTGTCTATTATACCCTTA